GCACCTCATGTGCGGAATTTCGATTGACCAATTATACCATCTGAAAGTTCAGAAATTGGTCATAAAAGGGCAGTTGATCTTATTAATTAGTCAGCGTTAGAAACATTTTTATTAAGGGTTAAACTTTTTCAAGGTCATTGAGAAATTTTAGCACCTCATTCGCGAAAAAAATAAAAAATAAAAAATATGCGCGATTGAGAAGCATTCGTTGATAATTGGTCAGCTTATATAAATACTTGGTCAGTTAAATTTAATATTTAAAAAAATTAAATAAGTTGGCATTGTCGTAACGCGCATGCTTTGGGATGGTTAATTGTAACTCAATCTATTTTTAAAACTCTTCATCTATCATGTGGGAAGTCATGGATTGTAAATGGCAGTTAAATTTTGTTTTATTTAGTTATGATTAATTATTATATATATTGCTATTTAACTAGAAAATAGCACTATATAATAATTGAAAATTAATGAAAGAAATGGAGAAATTTTCGGTGTCTTAAGCAGCCTTGTACTAATATATTTTAGAGTATTAATATAAAGTTAGAATTGAAAAACTTAAATTATAATAAATATACTTTAGAAATTAATTTTCATGGTAATTTTTTATGTACATAAAATATTTCTAATTAAAAAAAAAACCGGCCAAGTGCGAGTCGGACTCGCGCACTGAGGGGTCCGAATAAATCCGTATGCATATAAATTTAAAATTATTAAATATATTTTTATTAAGTATATGATGTCAATAAAACTTTATGCTTTTAAAAAATAAAAGAAAGGATACGGTATTTACATCAATGGCGAGTACATAACCACCTTCGATTTGCCGACGATATAGTCCTTATGGCAGATTCGCTGGAGGATCGAAGTACCATGCTCAATGACCTCAATAGTGTCTCCCAACGGAAAGGTCTTAAGATGAACATGGACAAATCAAAGATCATGTTCAATGTCCATGTCACACCTATGCCGATAGTTGTTGGGAGCACTAAGCTCGAAGTTGTTGATGAATATGTTTACCTAGGACAAATAGTCCGACAAGGGAAGTCCAACTTCGACCGAGAGGTTAATCGACGGATTCAACTCGACTGGGCAGCGTTCAGGAAACTACGACACATCTTCTCGTCAGACATTCCTCAAATCCTATAAACGAAATTATACAACCAGTGCGTGTTGCCAGTGATACTTACGGATCTGAGACGTGGTCCTTCACTGCTGGCCGTATGAGGAAGCTCAAGGTCGCTTAGCGAGCTATGGAGAGGGCTATGCTCGGAGTTTCTCTGCATGATAAACTTAGAAATGAGGATATCCGCAGTAGAACCAGAGTGACCGATATAGCCCAACGGATTAGTAAGCTGAAGTGGCAGTGGGCCGGCCATATAGCTCGAAGAACCGACAACCGATGGGGAAGAAAGGTTCTTGAGTGGCAGCCTCGTACCGGTAGGCGAAGTGTAGGGTGACCCCCCACGAGATGGAGTGACGACCTGGTAAGACATGCAGGAAGTCGATGGATGCAGGTGGCTCAGGACCGTGCTTTGTGGCATTCCTCGGGGGAGGCCTATGTTCAGCAGGGTACTTATGAAAGGCTGCAATGATGATGAATGATAATATATATATAGAGGTCAGTTCTGGCAAGCTAGTATTATATATAAATTTTTGTTTTCTCTTCACGTATTAATATTGTAGATATTTCCGGAAAGAATTTCAATTATAAAATACTTTCTACAGATCGTGTGTAACTTTAGCGCTATATTTAAGACCAACTACAAATTAGCTCCGGAACAACTCGTGTGGGAAGAACTCGTTAAGTGGAAAACTGATATACTTACTATATCTTTGGATCATTCGCTTCAAATTACTTCGTAGTATCGATTTTTTAAAACTTCTCGTGGATATCATTAATCAGTTCCTTAAATAATTTATAATTAATAATTTTGTACAACTGACTTCAATATATATTATTAAGGTTAATTCAAAACCTATTGGTCAGATCATGATCAAATATGGGACCACATGAGAAACACCAGCTTTGAAATAAAAAAAGTATCACCGAAATCGGAACACGTAGAACAAAGTTATAAGATAACACACATAAAAAAAAACATACAGTCGAATTGAGTACCTCCTCCTTTTTGAAGTCAGTTGAAAATTACACGAAACGAATAATAATCAAAAGAAAAAAACGCTACAAGGTAATCTGTTTTACTTCATATCTACTTTAAAACTACGTAAGTTTGAGCCCGTGAGCTCTAATGCGTGCTACGCTACTAGTTATATACATTGAAAATATTAATAAATTCAATGACTGTTTCCAGGATTTTTCGCAGGAAATATCCACCGCAGGACCACTATAAAAATTGTAGGTAGTTTATGTATGTCATTTCTCAGATAAGTAAGCTTTTTTACAATGGTTTACTTCGCCTTCACAACCGTTATAAGTAAGGGTAAAAAACTAATAGGCATTGTAAATGAGGGGTGGAAAGAAAAACTGAACTGTGGAAATAAATGAAATACTGACTAAATGCGAAGCGGGCCACGCACAATGTAGACTTAGGGTTTCGTAGTTGACCATCATAATACGTGGGTTTTTTTTGATAATATATTTGAGCATAATAATTCGCGGTTTGCCCCCTATAACGACTAAGATTGGGTCCAAATAGGAAGATCGTAACTGAAGGACTTATTTTCAAATCAGACTTATAGGGAGTGGTATTCAAAAAAGATTACAAAAACTTTACGATTTTGAAAATAATACAATTTACATCAAATCATTCACATGCCAAAGCACAAAGATGATCATAGTTGACTATCTATCTATATATTCCCCGCAGTGCAACCTTAAGATTTACATATGTAAATCTTAAGGTTGCACTGCGGGTTGCACACGTAAACCACCACTGTCCTAAATTATCCTGAGGTCGCCCGCGTAAAACAAAAGTGTAACGAATGAAACTGTATGATGTTATATGATTGTATGAATACTTTGAATGAGGCCTAGAAGAACTACAAACTAAAAAATAAGTGAAAGTAGTAAGTAAGTAAGAAAAATCCTCCCTGCCTATCCCTCAAATGAAAAAGTAAAGCTATAGTGTAGATACGACTTAAGGACCTTCAAGAAAAGAGCTTACTCCTTTCTAAAAGGCCGGCAACGCACCTGCTATAGCCCTGTTGTCGCAGTTGTTCACGGGTGGCTGTAGTCACTTAACATTAGGTGAGGATGCTCGTTAGCTTCCTCTTCTATAAAAAAAACCGCTCAAGTACGAGTCGGACTCGCGCACTGAGGGTTCTGTACAAACCTGTTCTGTTTAAGCCAAAAAAAGGTAATCTGTACGATATCCACTCACGTTCGAATTCGTGAGTCGCACGATGGCACCAGGTGTCACGCGCATCGAGGGGAGGGGGAGCGGTAGGCAGCTTCCCAGCGTGTGACGCTCGTGGGCGAGAGAGAGTAGCTCGCTGGCCGCGATGCGGGGAATCGCGGCCGAAGTTCACGCAACCGGTAGGGTCCAGATGGTTAGATTTAGTGCGTGTTACTTCGCTCCGTGGATCTGTGAATTTTGTAATATTCAACTTGTTCGGATGATGCGGAATTGCACACGCGCGCACCGAGTATACGGTCTAGGATTCGAACCGCGCATTCCTTGTTCGAGAGCGTCTCCCGCTTGATTGTCGGGAAATCATTATAATTGTGCCGTCGCGTTAAGTGCCCTTTTTGTGTGTTGGCTGGTTTGTTAGTTTTACGTGTCAACGAGGCGTATTTTGAATTCTTTCCGCGACGTGGTGTTTTGGTGTCGAATAAAGGAACTTAGTTGTCTTTAACTCTGAACCGTATGACTCATTAAGAGATCGTGTTAGGTCCCTATTTATGATTTTGTGATAAGTGAATCCGGGACATTGAATGTCGAATTTTGAACTACGGTCCGTACTGTGTCGGGTATCACGTGTTCGATTCTACGATGAATGTGGAATTAGTCGAGTTTAAGTTAGTTAAATGTACAATGAAGCTAATAGACTGAAATATTTATTTATTTAACAATTTATGTACACACAAAATAATGTTACAATGAAGAGAAAAAAAAAAGATATTTTGTACAAAGGCACTGCTTATTTCATATTGAAATTTCTTCCAGCAGGCCTGATACTGGATAAATTAAAAGAGAAGCTGATCTAGTGTGCACTCTCATAATAAAATTTTATAATATTAATATATTTAACATAAAGTAAAGATAATAAAAACATATATCCATGTAAACATACATATAACTAAATACCACTATAAATACATATACACACACATATATATATATATACATATATATATATATATATATATACATATATATATATATATATATATATATATATATATATATATATATATTACATATATAAATATAATAATATATTATATATATAATCATTGGGACGACAAAGAAAGATAGTGCTCTTTGACTCGCCTTTTGAACACGGACACTGTTTGAGCCTCTCGAATTGCAGCAGGAAGAGAATCCCATAACCTAACTGCATGTACTGTAAAAGAGTGAGAATAGGACTTAGTTCTAGAGGAAGGGAAATTTAGGAGGGTTTTTAAATGTGATCTGCAAACTGCATCGGGGGAGTGCGCAAAGTGGAATCGATCACGTAGATAGGGTGGTGATGTTGGATTGTATAGTATGTTAAAGCATAGGATTCGGGTATTCCTGCGAAGTCGGATTGGGAGCCACTTGAGCTGTTTGCGATAGGAGGAGACGTGGTCATACTTTTTTAGTCCGAAAATATAACGAGTACATAAGTTTTGCAAGCGCTCAAGTTTGTTTAATTGTTCCTCAGTCGCTTCCAAATAACAGACATCAGCATAATCAAGAATCGGGAAAATAAGTGTTTGGACAAGAGAAATCATCGTTGATAACGGCAGAAAATGTTGAAGGCATTTTAAGGAATGAAAAGTATAATTGATTTTCCTACTGATATGTGCATTCCATGTCAACTTGCAATCCATGATGATGCCCAGATTCTTAACCGTTTCTGAAATGCTTAGTGGAATGCCATTAATTTGCAGAGTTGGCAGTGAAGAAAAGTCAAGTAATTTACGAGTAAACCTGGTGCCTATAATCATTGCTTGTGATTTTTTAGGGTTTATAACAAGTCCGTATGATCTAGACCACTCATCGATTTTATTTAGATCGTTATTTATTTCAAATAATGCTGAATTTGCTTCAGTGACCAGAAAATGACGATACAGCTGCAAATCGTCTGCATAGAGATGGAAGTTTGAAGATATCACCTGGGTGATACAGTTGATAAAGATGGAAAAGAGTAAAGGAGAAAGGACGCCACCTTGAGGTACACCCGTGGCTAGATTGCACCACTTAGATAAAGTTTCATTGATACGAATACACTGAGAGCGGCCACGGAGGTAGGAATCAAACCATTGAATAGTTGAAGGAGACACATTAATAGAATGAAGAATGCTAAGAAGTATATCAAAATCAATGGAATTGAAGGCACTACTAAAATCTAGCAGTACAAGTACCGTTAAATATTTTTGGTCTATTCCGCACCGGATATCATCCGTTACCTTGAGGAGAGCAGTAGTTGTACTGTGACCAGGCCTAAAACCGGATTGAAAAGTACTTAAGATATTGTTACGGTTAAGAAACTTGGTTAATTGTGTGTGGACAATATGTTTAAGCACCTTTGAAAGAAATGGTAAAATGGAAATAGGGCAGTAATGTGTTGCAGATGAAGGATTCAAAACTTTGGATATAGGAATAATATGAGCTAACTTCTATGACGACGGAAAGCAACAAGAAGATAAAGAGAAATTAAAGATATGAGTAAGAATAGGGAGCAGAAAGGGAAGAATCAACGTAATCATTTTAGAGCAGATGTTATCATTTCTCATAGCAGTAGATGAAATTGCAAGGACGGATCGCATAGAATCATCTTCAGTAAGAGAAGTGAAATTAAATGAGGAATAATGACGTATTGGGCTTTGGTGAATGGTGAAACTATGACAGGAGGGTTGGCAAAATGCTCGTTGAGACTATCCAAGTTAATTTCACTTCCCACACTAGCAGAATATTTTCCGACACCGACAGATCTCAGAAAATTCCTTGCTTTTGCAGTATCGCAACTTGTGAGGGTATCATGAAAATAGCGCCTTTTAGCATCTCTACACAAACGATTGCAGCGATTTCGTAGTATTTTAAAGCTGATTAAATTGCGTTCAAGGGGATATCGCTTATACCTTCTTTTAGCTTTATCTCTACGCGCCATCAGGTCTTTTATATCAGCTGTGATCCACGGTGCAGGGTTGTGCCTTATTTTCACACGTTTTACTGGTGCGTGGTGATTATATAAATCTAAAATTAGAGAATTGAAGTTAATCACTTTGTCCTCAATATTAGAACAATCAATAACCGGTGTCCAGTCAATTAAACTAGCATCGCTCCTCAACGTCTCCAAATTAATGCCCTTATAACTTCTAAGATATCGAAATTGTGGCTTGCGCTTAGGGGGACGTACACGGTAAGATAAGTAAATGAGATCGTGATATGAAAATGAGGCACATATTTGTCCGTGGTTAGTAACACTATTTAAAGACGACACAATAATCAGATCTAGAAGAGATGCAGTACAATTGGGAAAGTGATGGGTGGCAGATAGAGGCAAGATTTCTAGGTTATAAGATGACATAAGAAATTTCAATTTATAAGTACGTAAATCATTTTTAATTATTCATGTGTTGAAATCCCCCATCAAGATTAAATGGCTATATACAGGACAGAAATTATTAAGAAGTGTATCTAATGTATCAAAGTAATTGATATTAAGGTTAGGACTATACAATACTCCAAGAAAATTTTTGTATGATAAAGTGCGATTTCAAGGAACAAATGTTCCGCAGATTCCGAGTAAGTTGATGGAGATACGCTAATAACCCTGTAAGGTATTTCCGAACGTAAATAGATAGCAACACCTCCACCACCTTTGCCTACCCTATCGTTACGAATAAGAACGAAACCAGGTAATGAATATTGAATAGAAGGGAGGTATGGCTTGAGAAAAGACTCAGAAATTAGAAGAGCATCTAGATGAGTACTGTCAATGGATGCGAGAAGGTCAGAATAATGGCAAGGAATACTTTGTGCGTTTATGTGAGCTATATTAAGATTGTCAGGATATTGAGAGAAAAGGGTTGAAATACGATCATGCAGGTTAAGATCTACGGAAGGCTCTGAGTCCAGGCTTAAAAAGCTGTTAGATGAAGACGAACATGAGAAAAAGCTATCATTATTATCTGTATCGTTATCTGTATACATATTTAAAAAAAGGCACAATACTAATAAAAATATTAAAAAAAAGAAATTTACTAAAATATAAAATAATATGTAAGTAAATTAAAAATAAATTATCTTATACTTATACAATATTATATATAGAAAAAAAATTAACATTAAGGGCAACTCATCTTACTCACTGACATGATGGAAGAAATTTATACTAACAACTAACATTAGTAATTAAACAATTAGTGTGATTAAAATAGAAAAAAAAGAACAGAAAATAAAAAGAAAGCTGGCTACAGTATACTGTACAAATCAATATAAACACATACTATATGATATAAAAGTAACAATACTACTAAAGTAATATTAAATTTTATAGATAGTACTACAATGAAATGTCAAAGCCATGTATGTACTGCAATCACTTTAATATAAATAAAATATTAGTTCTTAAAATTAAGATACTTTGTGTTTCGTGCAATAAAGAATATCTATTATCACTTTCTAAAAATGCTGTAACGGAATGTCGCGTATAATTTGATAAAATAAAATAAAAAGAAAAATATTCCACGACACCAACACAAATGTGTTCATTTGTGTTGAACGCCAATGTCGCAGAATACCTTTATACCTTTGCAACTGGGAGTTAAAAAACTCGCATACATTAGTAAGAACTTAGAATACGTTAGGAAACTGTTCAGGTGTCATGGAAAAATTACTGAAAAAATCACAAGGAAGCTGGTCTTCAGCAATCAGACCCTCACATACGTGAGGCTCAGGAATAATTTGCTAGTCGCACGATCGTGAGTGTATGTAAATAATTACTGATTTGTGTCATATAAATGAAATAATAAACATCAATTAAAATAAAATATGAATATGTATGTTTTCCTATTACTTTAATCAGTCTGTATTACAATTATATATAAAAATAAACTGTAATTATTTATAGAATCACGTATTACAAATGAGATCTTCTTAATTTCTATAATCGGAACAAAAATAAACTATAATTACTTCAACAATCAACAAGATCCTAGGTTTTACTTATTACAATCAATGAGATCGACTTATTATTGTGTATGATAAGCCTTAAACAATTTTTATCACGGGATAAGCATAAATACACATTACATTTATCACACCTAATTTTTGAACGACTGCTGCAGGTTTTCAATCTACAAGTCCTCGGCGCTTTTATGTCGTCGCTGGTGGGAAAATGCTCATACCCATCATATCGTTTTTCTGCTGACGGTCTATTTGCTGGTCTGTATATTTTATAGTCGCGACGAGGAGATGATACCTGGTCATCATCTTCACTATCCCTTCGAGTTCTACTTGGTGTACAAGATAAGGCATCTGCCACATTCAAGCGGAAATCGAGTAAAGGCATCGTGTCTTTCCTTGCATAATTGTTTCTATTGCAGTCGTTTCTATACAGCCTCCAAGAGTTTACGAGCGCGAGGTCAAAAAGTGTCTTAACAATTTTAAGGTCCATTTTTTGTTTTTATAAAAGTTCTATAACACTCCATTTGTTGATCCAGGACGTCTACTCCTCCCATGTGTTGATTATAATTTTTTACTATTTTTGGAGCAGTCACGCCAACGTACCGTCTAATGGTTTTATCCCACCTTTTAACGATAATTGTTGCGGCAGAGCCAGTACAGTTGGATGCAAGTAATACCGATTTATTATCTTTCCACTTTAATATTGTAACAGGTTCACAAACAAAATGTTGGCTTTCACCACGAGTCATTTGTGAATCAATTTTAAATTTTATTGTAGCTCGGTCAGGAATACGATTTAACATTATTGTCCCAGTCGAATGCAGATTTAACTTGTTCATTTCTTCAATCAAAAGAACGGTGGTAAAATATCTATCGTGGTAAACGCAGCTACCTGGGGAAATACTTTTAGCTAGATGTAAGATTACCGAAGGACCCAGTCCGAGATTCGTATCACCAAACATCGTCCTTGCACCCCTGTATAACTCAAAATCTAACATTAATCCTTCACTAGTTGTGAGGACGAAGTTTTTAATCCCCACAGGCCTAGGTTTGTTCTTCACTACCTGACGAAGTTGACAGCGGCCTGTAAATGGTATCATCTGTTCATCGATCGAGTAAAATCCCGGCACCCTTTCTAATTTACTACAGGCACTACTAAATATTCTTTTATATTAATTTATTTTTAATTTCTTTTTTTTTTTCCTTTCTCTATAACGACGCGACGTGGATGATAATGATGGGCAAGACGGTTGCATTGTTGATGGAGACTGCGTCCTTGGTGGAGGAGGATGTTGCGTCATTATTGAAGCAGGACGTTGCGGTGTCGATGTAGATGGAGGTTGCACCACCGGAGGACACTTCAATAGTGAGATTTGGTGGCTTGTTTCTTCATCTGCATTAGGATTGTCACCATCGAAGAGATTTTCGCAAGCCAATTGATCAAATAGGGTATTTGGTTCAAATTCCAAGTCGTCATCATCAAAATCTTCAATCTCCGATAGGTTTCCGTTCATCAATTGGTCTAATATTACATCATCCGTAATTGGCATCCCTAATAAAGAAGAAAAGGCCATTGAAACACTGTATAGGATCAAAATAACAAAATGTAACAACATCACGTACTACGACCGATGTTGCATGATCGTGCATGTTCAATTTTGACAGAAAATAATTACAAAACTAATGCTTCAATTTGCAAAAACTTGATAACTAAACCTACGGGAACTCGTATCTAATCAAATAGCATCAAATAATATGAAATATTCCAATACAATTACTAAAAATCGATCTACTTACGTGCGGTGGCACCGGGATTGAAAAACGCAGCCATCCCTCCTGCGGGTTTCGACGATCTGGCACGACGAAACGCGCGCGCAGAGACTAAAACTATTTTTTGTCTCATTTTTAAGTAGACTCACGATAGATCGACGCCGATTGCGTCCGCTTAAGTTGTTTATATTGTTCTTTAGAATTTTGTAAAGTCGAAACTCACGATCAGTTTAACTCGAGTGGAAAGGGTTATATTACTTGATGTCAAACGTTCAAGCTATGAATGTATTCAAAGTAAATACTTATTAAAGTGTAAGGTGATCTTTTGCAAGCAGTGTAATACGAATGATAATGTACCTACAAAGAAAACTATATTGGTTAATTATAGTACAAACAAAAGTTTTGATTACCGACATGAAACATTATAGATGATACGGCGAAATATGGGACATTGTATAAATGTAATATATAACTACACAAATACAATATTATCGCCGGCGTGTTTTCTTAGGAACGTTTGCACTGTTCGTCGAAGATTTTTTAGGAGATGCCATTGTTTCAGTTTGTGGTGCATTGCTTACATCTGAACTGGACGGATATTTAGCTGTGAGCAGTTCTAATTCTGCCATACTTTCAATTTTTCTTCGAGATTTATTGGGAAGACTTATTATTATTTTGCCTTCGGACGACCATCAATGTTTTATGCCAAAATTTTTACGCGCTGAAGTGAATACTTGATGCCTAGTCTTGGTCAAAAGATGGTTATACCGGACCTCTTAAGTCCGGTTTTACTATCCCATATCAACTGCCTGTGTTCGGTATCATAAAATCTAACTAGCACAGGTCGGGTCTTATTTTGTGAGGCGCCCAATCGATGACAGACCTTCAAACAATCTTTTTTTACCTTAGGCAACTGCAATTGGCTGGATATTAAAAAAAATAGTAAAAAAATAGTAGAAATAGTGACAATGAAGAAAGAAATGGTCCAGCGGTGGAGCCTGCTGGAGCGATGCAGCATTCTGGGGCAGCCTGGAACTCGGCCGCTGCTGGTTGCCTAAGCTGGTCCAGGTCTCAGACATTTACACATCACTGAACACTACTTGCCATTCACCTTACACCTACTTACCCCCTGACCGAGCCTTGATGCAATCTTAGAGTCGGAAACAGGTAAGTACTATATTTTCCTAGCATTCTCCCATATAGTTTAGTATGATAGGACATATTCCATGTGGCCATTGGGCCCGACCCGTGTCTGCCCATCGAGCAGGCTGATATGGGCCCCAGCCAGGGCGACCTTTGCAGGGGCAGCTGCGGGCCGTAACACTAGCCTTGTAGCAGCCTTGCAAAAGTTATTTTATCAAAGTTATTTATTTACAAAGTTTTTAGTCACAGTATTTTAGTTAGAAAGCTGGTTCAAAAATACTAATTAAGTATTAAGTTTGAACCAGATCTGTAAATAGTGACTGAAAAACGTATGAATAGTACCACATTGAACATTGAAGTTCGAAAAAACGTTATCTATAGTTGTACTACTTCGTGTAGTACTAGTGTTTATTAACGGAAACATGTTTATGGATGACAAATATGTGGCAATTCCATTTTGAGGATTCATTCTAAAATCGATATTGAAGTCTCCCACAACAATCAAACGAGAACATGAAGTATACCTATTGAGATTGCTGCCGTATATTATGGATGGCCTTGTAAATGGTACTACCGGAATATTTAATGCTATAGATTACGTTCGACACAAGGAGACAAGTGAAAAGCGGCCTTTACATATTTGGGTTCTGTTCGATAAAAGTAAGGGAATATTTACAAGAAGTAACTGTCAAGTAACTTCTCAGAAACATCGTCAATATCTCAATTCGTATCGGACACCATTAGATGCTGTCACTTATACTGTGAAAAGGTGGAAATCTTCAAATCTTGTAGTGCAGCGTACTCAGTTTCCAATAGTACAAGCAGAAGGTATTACAATTCACAAGTCGCAAGGTGCAACAAAATTCCCTATATATTCATGGTCTTTGTTTTCACATTCACGTACAAACGAGATTTTAGTTGAAAAATATAAAGCAAAATAAGCTAAACTCATTGTATCAAACGTTTGATCACGTGGCCGATTTTTATAATGATCCAGTAAATTTTATTTAAATATGTCTGTGAACGATGGGTCCAAGGACTGCAAATCTATTAAAGAGTCGTTAATTGGGGTGTCCTGTGTTTATGTAAACATCGCTTTCAGAGCCTTGTAACATAGAACGTCCCAGACAGCAAATTGCCTCTTCGGCTGAAATTTCAGAAGAATTTAGAAATACTTTTGATATAGCGCGTAGAGTCTCTTATGCTACTGTTGCCATTTTTGGCCTCTTTCACCGTCGCTATTAGTAAATTTGACATGCTTCGATCAGCTTTGTTAATATAATCGAAAATATAAACGGAACAAGCAAATGGATCTAGTATAAATTGGCAATCTATATTAGCTCCCTGTAATTCCAATACTTTTTTGCAAAATGGATTAACCATGACGTCTTTTGGGCGTATCTGTAGATATATATTGGGCCGTTTAAGTGTTGATCTAACTGCCCATATGTATTTTTCGATATTTAATTCAGTCGATGCTAAGTACTTATCAAGTCCACTTTTTAGATATTTCTTTCCATTCTTTTAAGCGTGGATTATCTTCTTTCAGGGATGTCAGAATACGTGTCTTATCCATTGAAAAAAAAGGTATTCCAAACCTACAAGGACGACTTAGTTTGCGATGACATGAATGTGTGTGTTTATGAGTTTGTATCTTAACTAAGTCTTCATTTAATTCTTCAATATTGCTGGATATGATTTGGTCAACAAACATTGTAACCTTTTCAGTTGATGATTGATCTCCACGAATGAAGATAGGCGCATCTTCTATCCACAACATCATATGGGCATGAGGAGAACCTCTGCTTTGGAATTCTATTCGATGGTATTGATGGCTTATTTCACGTTCACCAAAAGGCCCAACGAGAGATGTTTCGAAAAAAGTAGCACATGTGAATGGGTCGGACTGAATGAGTCGCACTTTTTCTGCGTATGGAATATTTTGTGATTCCTCAAGAGACATTTCCTTTTGGTCAACTGTGTTTTTAATCTGTTCTATTAAATGAAGCCATTGCGTTTCAGCTGCTGATATGACTATAAGCAATGTGGGGACACCGAACAGCTGAATCATTGCTTACAATTTTTTATTTTTTTCTCCCCAATGTACTGGGGAATTTCTTATACTACTAAGAATACTATATCCATCGTCATGCTGAATGAGGTTCTGTAGGTAGTCGTCAGTAAGAAGATTTTTTACCTAAAACAGGAGCGCCGTTGACGGTTTTCTTTCGAAGACAAGTAGCTCTATCATGCCGACTTATTTCGGATTTCATTATCTCAGAAGAACTTAGTCATACAGTAGTGATAGCGGATATTTACCCTCACCGGGTGCCAGTGTTATGACCACATCCTGCTCATTATCAAGTAAAGTTTCAGCATTACCGGGATTTACTGGTTCATCTATTAACTCACCAGGTTCACATGTGCATTTATTGTTATCTATACGATCATCATCAGCATCAACTTCGTCGTCGTATGCCCAGTTATCATCATATGTAATTTTTAATTCTTTAAATAATTCTGTCTGGACTAAATATTTTGTTGCTGCTCTCACTATTCCAGAACGGATACGCTCTTAATGACTGTGTTTGTAGCATGTTTTTCGCTTCACAACAAGTGTTATTATATGACTATCAGATGCATGCCTTGGTTAACTTGGTTAACATCGACTGGAACGTTCACTACATTCCCTACCAATCCATATTGAAAACCGAGAGCATGACCTCGCCTAACTATTTTAAGGAATATATGTTGTGGTGATACAATACGTTACTCAAGTGGAGTAAGTTGTTGCAGAACATCTGGAATTACAGGATAATTTAAACCATTATACATGGCAAGTCGTGGTATTTTGCCTTCTTTTAGATATTTTTGACACGTGTAACAAAATGAACCACTGTCACCAGATGTGTTGATTAGAAATAAATCATTTAGGTTTTGATCTGAAAATGTTTTAGGCAACTGATCTTTTCTCATGGATCTGAGCGAATTTTTGTGCCATAAACGACCCCAACAGAAACAGACATTCGTGTGACCATCTGCGATCGAACCCGGGTTCATTAACCAGTGAAATTGTTAATTGCGATTTTAAGTGCTGATTTACCAGATGCTCAGCGGTGAAGGAAAACATCCTGAAGACACCTGCACGTCTGAGAAATAAGAAAAAAACTTCGAAGACATGTGAAGTTCGCCAACACGCCTTGGGGCAGCGCGGCGGACATTTCCTTGCCCTAAAACCCTCTCCTTTTGGCACCTCTAAGGTGTCAAAAATTCATTTGCTATATGATGTGTTCGTGATGTAAAATGGTAAGATACTTTATTTTATTTGATTTTACTCAACTAAGTGAGACACATTATTTTATTTTATTGCGCGGAATTGAGTAAATAAATTTTGACACATTGGCATTGGCATTGGAATACGTGACATTTCATCACATACAGGCTTTTGTTTGTTAAGCACGCCGAACGCTCCACCCCGCAACAAGCGCTTCGCTAATTGTTTAAATTAAGAGCGTGTAGCGTGGTTACATGGTTCGTTGATTTCGTTACGGCAGCGGCACGGCGTTTTACTCCATGCTATCTATCACCTTTAGTGCTGGATTTAGTGCTTCATTTTCATAAAAATATTTTAATGAATAACTTTAATGAATAAATTAAAGTCAAGTTAAAAATATCATTTTACCAATTTAATATATCAAACTCAGACATTGTTTAAATTTATTTGATTGAAAATTATTTTAAATTGTTAAATACCTATTTATATATTGTAAGAAATATTCCACTTCCTATGTTAGAAATTATTCTCAAAATTATTTAAATAAAAGAACACTACTTGGTAACAAACCTTGCTTACTACCAGGTACCCAATTATATTATGTTAACACCAAAGTACGCAAACCAATAGCATCACTACCCATCTCAATGTAACACAGGGCAGCCTCTCAGCAACACGATCTTCCTTGCCTACGCTAGTTGAATACCCCAACGGGCATAGTAACGACAGTGGGACTCGTAGAATTACCAAATGATGCCTCTTAGTGGCCTGCATGATACTTTATACTGCTAAAACAAGTGGGAGATTACCATTCTACCTTCATTTGTTCGTATTTCCTTTTATTTTTGTACCCTCATTCCCAACAATATAGTTACTAGCGATCCGCCCCGGCTTCGCACGGGTGATTTCTGGATCTCGACAACAGCGCCATCTACGGTACCAAATGTAAATCTAAACCAGCTAAGAACCCATTCAAACAGAAAAAAAAATCATCAAAATCGACGGATCCGTTTCTGAATTTTACCGAGACTAACGGCAGAAATTGATTTTTATATATTATAGAGATTAATAAATACATTGTTAATTTTTTATTCTTGTCTCGATCTTCTTGAATGTCTTGTCTCAACAAACTCTTTCTCTGTGGCATCATGTTCTTCAGCTTGACGTTCACTACGACCTTGCTACGTTGGACAAGCTGTTGGCGATTTTCCAACGTCAAATCTCAAAATGTAATAAACTATAGGCTACTGTTTCAATTTCAACGTCAATCACTTTGTAAAACAAGGTTTTTCAATAAAATAAAGTCTTCGTTTGTTAGGCACAAAGTAGTTTCTAATATAAAAATTGGTACATTACTGAAGAACCTCAAAGTAGAGCACGAAAAGTTAAAATAATGTTTGTATTTTTTTTTCTTTTATAGAATATGCAAAAAAAAAACACACACATTCCACCTGATGGTAAGTGGATGCTATGGCACATAGACATATTTATCCTCGATTAAGAATCAAAATGCAGATGCGTTGTCACCGGAGTAAAAGGGGTATCCGGTTCTCTACACTCACAATACGAAACATAGCTGCATTCAGCTGCTATTTTACGCTGGTATTTTGTGTGATACCCGTTCAACCCGACTCATTCGTGCTACAACCATAATATAGCTGCAGCGTGGCTCTAAGACGTTTAATAATTTTGCTACGAGTATGTCAGATCTCAAATTTTTCATCAAATGAGTAACTGGCCCCTCCCATTTGATGAAGAAGGAAGAACTAAATAACCTACAGGTTATTCAGTTCTTCCTTTTCTATCAGAAATTACAAAAATTTACGTACGTCCCTTCTGCGGCAGTCTACTGCTGATAGCTGATAGCTGCATGGCTCTTTCTGACACTTGTCAACGCGCAGTAGATCAGCGCGATGGTCACTTTAGCAAAATAGACAAAAAAAATGATACTGTGATACAAAAAATCGAAACATTATACATCTAAGGTGAGTATACAGATAAAAATAACTGTCTGTCTGTAATATCAAATTATCTGCCTTTTTTAATCTGAAGCTAAATAACCCTCATTTGTTTGCTAATAAGGTATGAAAAACTATTATTTAAATTTTGTTCTCTAAGTACGTATGTTAATCTGTGTCTGTTCAGACTAACCATCGAAATGGCTATATATATATATATATATATATATATATATATATATACTATATAAAAAAATATAAAAAAAAACTTGAAGATTTTAGTTGCGAAATCGAAAAATTAATAAAATTAATGGTCTTTGACGCGTAAATACTACCCAGATAAAGCTGGGGCGTGTGATATTTCATCAAAATCTCATTTTGATGAAATATCACACGCCCCAGCTTCAAAGACGTTCAAAGTTCAAGTTTCAAGTTCAAGTTTCAAGTTTCAAAAACGTTATATTTATGAAAAATGGCAGGCATGACGCGCGTGCTAACTTGACGCGAGATTTAACTTATCGATATTGTGACGATTAAACTTGACGAGATTCAACGATCTGGGGAAACAACTTTAAACCTTAAATGTGTGCCACAGTAGAACCGTTTCATGTGCAGTAAATTAATAGACTATACACAACGTCCCAATTTTCCTTTTCATTTCAGTTTTAACTCATCATGATTTTTTTTATATAATCTGTTGAAGAATGTAGCTTCATCTCCCGTCATCGTAACAGCCATGAGATTAAGAGTGTGATCGGAGAGTTTTTGTGTTCTTCTGCGGCGGGTCTTGCAGAACTTAGCTCTCACCGCATGGACAGTTTCCACGAGCTTGTCATTCATATCGTCCACTTCACTGCAGTTTTCTAGGCACTGAAAACGGTTTTGTAACTCGAGCTGAAAGGTTTCGGGACTTTAGATTAGAGCACGAGGGGGACGGAGCGTTGACTTCATTAGACGAGACCTCTCCAACTTAACGTTTAGGTTCAGTGTGCCTCTAACCATTCGGTGATCGAAGCCGGTTTTCACCCTCGTGATCACTGAGACATCACTGAACAGTTGTCGTCTGGTCGTCATAATGAAGTCGATCTCATTTTTTGTCGAACCGTCGGGGCTCGACCAGGTCCACTTCATGTGGGGCCGCTTCTGGAAGGAAGAATTCATCATAAAGAGTCCCTCTTTCTCCATGAAGTCGACCAGCTGCTGGCCCCTTGGGTTCCGTTGCCCTATTCCAAATTTCCCTACTTTCAGCTCACCGTTCTCTCTTGTGCCTAGTTTTGCATTAAAGTCTCCCATTAATACCGTATATTGGGTCTTGGAGGAATGCATGGCTCTAGAGATATCCTCATACATTTCTTCCACCTCCTCATCGGGGTGTGCCGAGGTTGGTGCGTAAACCTGTATGACCTTCAGCGAATACCGTTTGGTGATTCTGAGTATAAGGTACGCAACCCTCGTCGACACACTCTCAATCTTTACAACGTTGTTTACGAGAGACTTGTGGACGATAAATGCGACACCTCCTTGGGACATTTGGTCGCCCTCCCGGTAATAGAGCAAGTTGCCGGATTCGAGGATTACCGTTTCCTCCCCCTCTCTTCGTACTTCGGATAATCCTATAATATGCAAGCGTAACTTGTCTATCTCTTCTTCCAGCTCCACAATCTATTCGTCAGTCCTCAGGGTGCGTGCGTTGTATGTTGCCAGGTCGAGTCGTCGTAGGTGGCAACCGAACCTCCACCGGAGATACTTAGCACCCCCTGCCCCGCCGTTACCATGGTCGCCACCGTAGCCAGGAATAGCGGGGCCGCCGGTGACTGGGGGCCGTCTCTTAGTAACTTT